TGATTGGCTGAATGAAGGCAGAATAAGCCCGAAACAGTGCTGTATCAATCTACCCGCATTCTCTGTCGTCCCTCCTCGCTGCTATATATATATATATATATTTATTCACTCAGGAATGGGCGCACGCCGATCCATTGGCTTCCCGAAGCAAACAAGCTTCGTATGGGCGATAGGGGTCACGAACACGCAACCACCTATCAGGCCGAAGTCCGCCAAGCTATGATAGCATACGAAGCCCATACGAAGCTTATTTGCTTCGGGAAGCCAATGGATCGGCGTGCGCCCATTCTTGAGTGAATAAATACCCGATCTGCAGCGATAGGGAATGGCAGGTGGCGAGGCACTGATGAACTTCGTTTCGATGAATTGCTTATGACCCATCTGGTAGACCCCAGTGGTGGACCAGCAGCGCCAGGTGCGTCTGAGCGCATGGTTGTGTTTCCGGTACCAGCTGGTGGTCAGGGTTATGAGTGGCTAAATGAAGGAAAACAAGCCCGAAACAGTGCTGTATCAATCTACCCTCAGACTCTGTCGTCTCCTCTCTGATATATATATATCCTGTTCATCATCCACCAAAAAAGACATAGAATAAAAGAAGACGATTCCATGGACAACACTGTATTGGTGCTAGCTTATCAGAAACTTTCTCGTTTCCATCATCAGCGAAGTATTAGGAAGTTTGTTCCTCCTAGCACACAGTTTTTCTGTCTCGCCGCCTGTCTCGCGTTATACGCATGCTCGATACACGAACCCTGACCAGCCTGATGGCGTGAGATTGGATTCGGTCTCTCCGTGGCCGACCGCTGGGGCGCTCGTGTGACCTCTGTTCCCCGCCCGGCCGCCGTTGTCGCTGATACGTCCGTGTCCCCTTGGACCCTCCCCCATAATCTTACGGGCTGATCAGCCGCCGATGTATGCGTGAATCGCGGTCGGCTGTTTGAGCGCGTCGGTGGGTTGATGTCTCGCGTCGGTCGTCTGACACCCGGCTGGCTCTCTCCCCCTGCTGTGAGGGTGGCAACTGTTGAGACAGCCGCGATTTGTTCGCCAGTGCCGTCGGCTCCATGCAGACTGACTGTAGCCTCACACGTAGCGCCTGGTATGTCGGATGAAGATCAATGTCTCTGTTGGTTGTGTTAACTAAGAACCAACTTTCGAGAACCAGTCTTGTCATCTTGTCGCTGGCTCGGGCGATGATGCTTGCCTCCCGTTGTATGGAGATATTTACCTGTGACAGCTTATCCTCGCCTTTGACTGCAAGATGGTGCTCGTGCAATATTGTGCAGAGGCGTTTGCCCGTTTCACCAACATACCTCGCACTGCGATCTTGGCAAGGCATGCTGTAGACCACTGCTGATTGTTCCGTTGCCGGTAGCTGGACTTTGGGCCTCATTATCTGCTGCTTGATAGTGGATACCGGTTTATAGGCCACCCCAATCCCAAAAGGGCTCAGGATGCTTGCTTTCGCCTCAGAACATTCCACATGTAGAGGGTTGCGAGCCAGAACGTCGGCTACTCATCGTTAGATCGTTCGAGGTTAAGTCCCCTTCGGCATTCACGTATGAAGGATCGTGGGTAACCATTGGCAGTGAATAGGGAATGTAGGTAATTCACTTCCTCCCTTCTCCCGTCGTCGTCACTATAGTGTGTTTGAACTCGTTGAAAAAGATCCCTGGCTCATTTGTGTTTGTGACCATTGGGTTGGTTACTCCGGAATTGAAGGATGCGTATAGAATTCGTTGCCTTTTGGTATACGGTACCTCTGATCCCCCCATTAGCCATCCTTGTGACGTTTACGTCAAGGAAGGACAACTGATTGCTGTTGTCCTCCTCCATTTTAAATTGTATGTCGGGGAATAATTAGTTCAACAAGAACTTGAAGTCTTGAACGTCGTTCCTCTTGATTACGACAAACGTGTCGTCGACGTATCTGGCCCAGAATTTTGGGGAGTAGGAACTAAGGACCAGACATTCCAGCCTTTGCAGATCAGCCTCGGCAATCAGTCCAGACAGCGGGGAGCCCATCGGTGTTCCCACAGCTTGTTTTTCCTGGCAACCTGGTCATTTCAGTCCTAGAAGACATGCAGAGAGAATTAGGTCATGTTGGACACACGAAAACGGAGGCCGCGGTCAGACAATGTTTCTTGTGTCCGCACCTGCCGGAACAGGTCACTACGTGCTGTAACACATGTCCGACTTGTGCATCTTTTAAGGGTTCAACCACCTGACGTAAGGCACCACTCCAACCAATGATCACAGGATTCCCCTCGAGCGTTTGAGCATATATGTGATTGGGCCACTGCACCTCCCGACAGCAGGTAACCGTTATATACTGGTTATGGTCGATTATTTTACGAAATGGGCGGAGGCTGTCCCCTTACGCTGGCGAGATGCCGCGTCGTGGATCTGCCGGTTCGGAGCCCTTCTTTCCCTACACTTTGACTGTGAAGATAATTTCAAAAGTAACCTGGTACATGGCGTGTGCGATTTTCTACTCATGCACAAGATGCGGACTACCCCCAGCCCATCAGGAAGGCGACGGACAAGTAGAACGTACAAACTGTACCATCATGAACCTCCTGAAGGCGTTCGCCGAGTAATACCACCCACACAACTGGGATACACGGCTGCCGTATGCGATGATGCGTAGAGAGCCACTATCTACCGGCTACGCACCATATCAGATGCTGACATGGCGCCAAGTTAGACTACCATCGGATTCACATTTTCCTCTCCACTTACAAGATACGCACGAACCGGATAAATATATACTCGATTTGCAAGAGACTTTACACATCACACACAACCTCGTACGTGAACAGCTGAAAGCCGCATACGATAGGCAAAAGGAATATTTTGCCGGGAGAACAAGCGGGTCACCCTATAATCACGGTGGCCTTATCCCACGTATTAGATGTATAACCCCTCTCGGCACACCAGCGAAATGTTTCTATCCATGTGAAGGCCCGTACGTTATCACATACATCCTCTCGCCCACCACGTATGTTTTAGTTTATTAAGCGAAATATAGGCGACCACCCTTGAACTCCCTATGGGTTAAAAGTCGTCAAAGAAAAACTTCGATATGTGTGAAGGTGAAAAAGGTATTTTGTACATAATCGCGGACAGCGGACAGCTAGTCGGAAAGGAGGTATCGATAACGGTTACCTACTAATTGCATGTACTGTGAACATGTATAAGTTAGTGCGGGCTGTGTGAGTGGATGTGAGGCTGGTAATTGGGAAGCTTGATATGCGTCAAGCCTACAATTAAAGGAATTTACACAAGAGGACATTGCCACATCGGAAGACAGGGAATTCCACGCTGGAACCACTCTGTTAATGAAAAAGAACTTTCGTCCATTAATTCTTGCTTTACCTACGCGTAGTTTTAGCGGATGACCGCGCAAAGTGGGCGTGTTAGCTAGAGTGAAATAATCAGTGGGATCTAAACGACAGTCTATGCCGTTGATTATGCGAAATGTGAGTATAAGGTCACCACGTTATTGCCTGTAGGAAAAGGGAAACAGGTTGAGAGCTGACAGTCTGGTTTCATAGGGCAGTGCTCCCAGATGTTGTGTCATTTTGGTCGCCCGTCTCTGTACCTTCTCCAAGACAGTATAGTCCTTGGCTGTCCGTGGTCTCCACGCCTGCATGGCGTATTCTAGATGAGGCCGCATGAAGGTGCCAAATATTTTGGAAAAGCAGTCTGGGTCAAATTCCATAAATGCTCGCTTAATGAGTTGCAGTGCAGCCATAGCCGACATAGCCGTCTTCGCGCAGTGCAGCGTTGGTTAGAGTGAAGATGTAATCCCCACACCGAAGTCCTTCTGACTGTCAACTTGTTGCAGTGGTGTGTCGTTTAGATAGTAATTGCTGGGGCTGGAGGCTCTGAAGCTGCCGAGTTGAAGAAAGTTATGCTTGCTTATATTAGAGGGCATAAGCTAGCGCTTCAAGCCTGTTTAAGTTTGCTTGCAGATGGTCTGCGTCTGCCGCATTGTAAATAACTTTCCACATTTTTTTGTCGTCGGCAAACAGGCTGGCATCACGGTCTAGGTCCTTGACGCAGTCATTTATGAAGACGAGGAATAATGTGGGACCTAAGACTGAGTCCTGTGGGACGCCACTCACTACGCTTACCTCTGAGAACTGTTGACGCCCGACCTGCACTCTCTGCGACCGTCCAGCCAGAAAGTTCTGGATCCATACAAGAAGGCTTTCACGAATTCCATCGTTGCTCAGTTTGTGCAAGAGACGTTGGTGCGGGATGCTGTCGAAGGCGTTTTCGAAGTCGATGTAGACGGCGTGCACCACATTGCCTTCGTCGCGTGCTTTAGTCTGGCGTTCAAACGTAAAGAGCAGATTCGTGAAGCAAGACCTGCCACATCGAAAGCCCTGTTGGGTATCGGAGAGGAGAAGGTGCTGCTCGACGAACTGCATCAAGGCCTTCTTAATGATCTTCTTCATGATTTTGCAACAGACGGAGGTAAGACTCACTGGCCTGTAGTTATTCACAGACGCACGACTTCCACCCTTAAAACGCGGAGTGATGGTAGCGGATTTCCAATCAGAGGGCAGACATCCAATAACAAATGAAGTTTGGAAGATCAATGATAGTGGTTTGGACATTTCGGGAGTTAGATCCTTCAGCAGCTTGGCCGGGATTGCATCAGGGCCTGGGGAGCTCGATTCTTTTAATTTAGGTAACTCTTTTCGAACAATTGCTTTTGTGAAGAAGACGGCCTCGAGGGTAGGCGTTTCTTCGTCTTCACAAGTGGATTAGAAAAAATCAGGTTCACTTATCACGACGAACCGGAAGAACTGAGAGATATGGGCAGCCTTTTCCTTGTCATCGGAGATTTCCGTTCCCTTAGTCATTCGCAGCATTGGGCTGGGATCATTGTTCCGTGTACTTTGTTTTATGTAACTGTAAAGAGTTTGGGGTTTAACCATGGCACGGTTCAAAATATCCTTTTAAAAGGCTTTCTGATCTCTGGCGATGAGAATTTTGACCCAATTTATCTGTAACTTATAACCACTTAGGCATTCTGGCGTCCAGTCAGTCAGGGATCTTTTCCATAGCTTCCTCTCCTTGTTAACTCCCTTCTTTAAGGTCGAAATCAACCAGCGGGGTCTATTTGTTAGTCTTCTGCGCATGATTGGGCAGTAGTTGGAGATGAGGCTGTGTACTTCCTTTTTAAATTGACACCAAACCTCTACGATATCGCCGGAGAGAGCGGATGCCCAGTCGATAGGGCAAAGGTACTGTTTCATCTGTTCAAAATGGCCGCGCCAAATATTGGGTCGGGCGTCGAGCGGCTGTGCAGGAAGGGAGAATAAGGTGTATTCCCACATGAGGACTACTTGGTCACTCTGACCCAACGGGGGCAGGCAATTCACAACGTCAATGTTGTCAGAGGACTTGGTGTACACAAGATCGAGGCAATTCAATTGTTGGCCCTCTCGAACACTCGTTTGAAACATTACGTGTTGGGTGAGAAGTAGATTGTCGGAGGTACGCAGTAACTGCCGGTCGAATGCTGCTTCAGAGCAGTCGACTGAGGCTGAGCTCCAGTTTATGTGAGGTTTATTAATATCACCAACAATGAGAGTAGTCGGTCGTGTTTAAAATAATCTGAGCTCCTCCAGCAGTTTGGCATCAGTGTCAGGGTCATTTCTCGGGGGGCGATATACTGTCAACATATCGAGACGTTGAGAGCCCGTTGCCCTTATGGTCAGCCATAATGCTTTGGTAATACAAGTCAGTTGGGCAGTTTTTTCTGAAACGTGCAAGCCATTCTTAACAAATGTTACTATGCCTCCACCCCTTATGTTTTCTCTGTCTCGGCGGAACAGTTGAAATCCTGGGAATTCATACGTAATGCACATATGCCAGACGGTCCAACCTTTACGGCACATTATGACAAACTTAAACTTACGGAGGACGACTTCCTCTCGCGACAGAGGATTGCCCCTCTATCATCTCAACCCGCCTAGTCACCGAACCTATAGCTGAGATCGAGGTAGGTGATAATCATGATCCGACAACCAATGGCTCGAGGACAGGGCCACATCTTGATGAGGGGGACTTATAAAGGACAGGTTTGATCGTAAACCCGTTTGTTGAAAGTGAAGAAAGTTCTGAAACACAATTCCAGGAGTTCAATGAGGTGCGTTCATTTAAGCCCTTGATCAGTTTCATCATACTTCTCCTGGAGACTTCAATGGTGCTGATGGCAAGGCCGTTTGGAATGGAAATGAATAAGGAGACCACAGTAAACAATACCATCATCTCATCTAGCTCTATTTCTAGATGTCTGAGACTCCACAAAAACTGCTAAGCCAATTTCACCGTCCATTCAGAAGCCTCGATCAGAAAACAGAGTCGTTGGTAAAGTCATTTCGACAGTCCAAACGTCGGGTCGCTGAGTAAGGAGACTATGGGACGTAGAAGTACTCCTGGTTTATGCAATTTTGGCAGACTGTAGAATTGCGCCATAGCGGCATCGGTGGCTTCAGCGGCCAGTGTTTTCCGCCTCCTAAGGGCCCCTGTCTTCATTACCTTTCCTATAGCATTGTTTACACTACTCAAGTGCTCCTTGAATTCGCCAGTGTAAAAAGCTTATAGGCAACTTCGTCCCCCAACAGATCTTCCACAAACGCCGTGCATTCTGTCTTGTCCATGACAACCGTCGAGCGTCACTTGTCTGCGGGCAGGGTGATGATATCACTCGTCTTCCAAATTCTCAGGCGTTTTCGGTCTTCTGCTTCAGAAATCACTATTTGAGGTTTGTGCCGGAGCAGAAAAGTTGAAACTGTCAGTAAAGCGACGAGACGAGTCCCAGGAATTAGTCTTAAGAAGGAGACACGAACGCCGGGACAAGAGCTTTATTAGCATGACGTTTTGGATCTCTGCTCGAATCAATTATCAGAAACAAAATCAGATACGGATGATTCATGCACTAGGGGCTGCAGCATTTATAGGATGCAGTAGCCATGCTACCGCATACCTATGAACATTCGCGGCTCCCCCCTTCATCCGGGATCGTCGCACTTGGTGTGATCATTGCTTGCTGGCCGACATTCGAGTCGATAATTGCTGCAATTTCATCACGTGCGCCTGACGTTGGCGTGATGATCGCTCGACCATCTGACGCACCGACCCCGGTGTTTAGAAAAGTGTTCACCTCTGCGCTCCCCGCATGGCTTGTTACTCCGCCCAGGCGAAGTTTTAGCACGGAGTACGGAGTGGGAAGATCGTTGTACTTGTTGATGGACTTGGGGCCAGCAAACCATGATTCCAGTAGCTCCCGGCTCATGGGATAATTTATCTGGACTTTGAATGTCCACAACTGTTGATATATATATATATATATATATATTATATCGTCTCGGAATTCCAACCACTTCTACTCTACATATATATATAACCTATGAGTGCGCCATCTTCGGGTTAACTGAACAACTCAAGGCCCAACAGAACCAAGATATCGTCTGACCGGAGTGGTGAGCAAAGTTCCAACACAGTTAATATTCCCGAACGCAAGTGAGAGGACGATGATCACGTGTCTCAGCGGTAGTGCGCATTACTCAGTTATAAAATGTCTTGGGTTTGTGTCCCAGGTCAAAATGATTCACCAAGAAAACTTGTTATTGTTATTATTCATTTTATTTCATTCAAACGAACAGCTCAATTTCATGCTTGTGCCTGCGATAATTACTTTGAAATCATGATCAAAATTTGCTGTTTAGGTTGACGAGAAACTTTTAAGAAATTGAACATTTTTACTGGCTTCTGCAAGCCTATTCAACTAACTTGCATAATAGCATCCATTTTACGGGCTCAGACATCCACGTCTATCAAGACGTTAATTAATGGCAGGATTTAGTAAAACTGTACAATTTCTTCAAGCATGGAGGTTAGGTACACGGCAGTGATCATTAATAATTTACATGACGCGTCGCATTTGTCGTTGTAAAGGTGCAAATCATAAAGCAACTGAGCAATTTATTGGATTTTTACTGCCAAGATATCCGTCATTTACGGAGGGACCTCGATTAATTAGTTGTCTGCACGTATTGATGCTCGTTTTTGCTGGAACTTATACGAATGTACAAGATGTCTTGGCACTTCTACGGCATGATCTTTAAGATTAAAGTAAATCTTTTCCAGCGTACTGACATTCCAAATTAGGAAGCTAATTTGGGCTCACGAATACACAGTCAACACTCACATACCAAAAAGACGAATCCGCGGAGACCTGGTCGGAAATCTAAACGAAATTAATTACAAATTCGTATACATTAGGTGCCCAACGACCAGACAGAGCAAGGTATTAATAAACGGTTTGCACATATTCCTTGATTCCGCACCTTTAAAACTGGCAACGTATCGGTTCCTCGTATAAAGTGCCAAGTTTTTAACTACAATCCGAAGACCTATTGAAAAAATAGTCTGGACCTTCACCTTATAAAAGACTGAAATCTTGACGGCGAACGTTGGCCCGTAGAACTGTTTGGTGTCGGTGTTTATGTCATTTTGTTTTGGAAGTACCCCGTATACAGCCACCAAATCAAGACAAATGGGGTTCAGTTGTATTTTTTACAAGAAACATTTGTAAATGAGAGAACAGTCTGAGCGGACTACCCGATGCCAAATGAAGCTTTGTAAATGAGTTATTAGCAAGGTTATGCTTTGAAGAGGTCCGAAAAAGGTATCCAGGGGGTAATCGTCCTGTCTGGTTAATGCAAATTTTAAGAAAAGATACAAACAAAAAATTAAAAAAGGGACTTTTTAGTGAAACTGTACACAGCTGTATGATTACTCAAAACGTCAAAATTGGAAAAGGACTGAAAAGCGCACGTTTATTAACGCATGCTTCACTGCAAATCTATCGAAAGTTTTCGCTTTCAGTTTAATTTAATACCATCATTGACGGTTGAGAAAACACAAATTGCTTACTCATTCCACATCTTATATATGGCACTGAACACCAGTTATTCTGAGAATAACGAACAATTTGTACACAACGCACATAAACCACAATGGAGGTCAAGACATGGTTTGATGTGTGCCAGACGGAATTTATATCAACACGAAATAAATGAAAACAAAGCGATATGGAACTTGCAACAGTCTCTTGATTTCTTGTTTTTTATGGATTTGTCAACATCGTAATAGAACCTCAGGGTAAATATATTCTAGATATTTCCATATGCACATTATAGCAGATGTCAGTCGAGTGCGCACGCCATCACAGGTCTGTTGTGGAAAGCTATCCGCGCAAAAACGTCCAATTCTGTTAATAAGGTTGTGTTCCTAGCTACGTAGTCCATGTCGCAATTCGCATCCACGACACGGTAGACAAGTTGCGAGAGTTTAGGAAATCGCAGATCCGTTAAACGAAGAGTATTTGCAAGCCTCCGGTCATACAGGTAGTTCACAGTTGCTTTTGCAGGCACCCGCG